CCAAATTGGAAACCCCGACGGCGCGGGGGGTAGGATGATGAACAATGGTGGTGGTGGTGGCGGCGGCGGCGGCGGCATGATGGGGCCGCCACCCACCGGCGGGCGGAACGCAAACCTACGGCCGAACGACGGCGGTGGGCCGGGCGAAGGAAGAGGCATTCGCGGCGGTGGCGGCGGCGGTAGGGGAGGAGGCGGGCGAGACTCGAACTTTGGCGGGGGAAGGGGTCCGGGCGGCGGTAGAGGTATCCCGCCTCCTTCCAACCGCGGCATGCCCCTCGGTGGACCGCTGCCGCCAAACGCCGGCGCCGGCGCCGGCGGCGATAGGGCCGGCGGCAGCGGCATGGGCAGAGCCCCCGGTGTCGGCGGCGGGATGGTTGGGGCGGGTCCGCGCCAGATGAGCGAGGGGCGCCCGGGCATGGTCGGCGGCGGCGGCTCCAGTGGTTCTGGAGGAATGCTGAGAGGTCCCCCCGGAGCCATCAACACCGGCGGCGGAGGGGGCATGGGGGACGGGGGTAGCGGCGGCGGCAATAAACGGCAGAAGCGGGACGGCGGGGCTCCTCCAGCAAGGTCAGTCTGGATTTCATCATGCGCGTGTTTTGCTTGATTTGGGCATGATTAATGTTGAGCTGGCTGCTGTGCGTCCAGAGTTTTTCGGCGCTTGTTTTTTTTGTTGTTGTTGGGTGTTGTTGTGTCTTTTGTGCAGCCCCGACTCGAGACTGTACCACGCGCCGCGAATCCAGAACGCAAGCGCCTGTTGTCGTGTTTGTCTGTTTGGTGCGTCCAGCGCCTTCAGCCCGAAGCTTTGTCACCTTAGCTCTGATTTGGTGGCGCACAGTAGCAGGCCCACAACCCTTCTCTTGCCTCCCGCCGCCTGGGTAGGTGTAGCATTTTTTAGCTACCTTTGGCAATCGGCGATCGATCAGTCCTGTAGGAAAAACGTCTCGGGACGCGCGGTCCATGGTCTAACAACTAGGGAACACCAAACGTAAGAACCCCGCCCCGCCCAACCCCCCATGTTTCTCAGATCTCCCGGCATGAACGGCTCGATGCCCGGGGGCCCTCGAGCAGGGCCCAATTGGGTCGGCGGCGGCGGTAGCGGCCCCGGCCCCGGTGGCCCGATGTCCAACAGCCCCAACGGCGGCGCCATCAACGGTGTCGGCGGAGGAGGCGGAGGCGGAGGCGGCGGCAACACGCCGTTCTTCGACGGACCGCCACCGGGAATGGGAGGAGGAGGAGGAGGAGGCGGCGGCGGAGGCGCGCGGACGTCTGGAAACACCGGCGGTAGTGGTAGCGGAGCTAGGCCGCCGGTCGGGGGCCACGTGAGCCCGATGGGGCCGCGCGGAATGGCTGGACGAGACCCGGGGGCTGGGTATAGGTTGGGTGGCGGGAACGCCCCGGGGCCCCGCGGCGGGAACAACGTGGGACCGCCGCCGGGTGGAGAGTTGCGAGGAGGCGGGGGGGCACCGCATGGTACGTTTTTTGCTGCCGGTCCCTGAGTGTTCGTGTGTTTTCTTGGCTAGAATCGACCGCGCTAACCGGCGGACCATTGAAGAGACATGCGTCAGTCTTGTAGCGGGATAAAAACACGGGGTGAGAGTTCTCCCGACACACGGGGGGGCGCACGCGTGTGTGTGTGTGTTCCTTTATTATTATTAGCATCGACCGCGCTACCCGGCTGGCCAATGAAAAGTCGTCAGTCTCAGTGCGGTGTAAAACACAAGACACTTTTCTGAATGCCATGGACTGGGACCCTGTGAGGGGGCGGCATGGGGGAAGCTAAGCTATTCTCCGGATTATGCTTGTGTGTGTGTCTATTCCGCGGAATGCCTCGTTTGCGCCGTGATGCTGACCTCCCGGGGTTGTTTGGGGGGCTTTTTTCGTTCATGGCACGGCGTTCGTTGTTGACGTTTTTTTTGTACACGTGGAGGCTTGTGTCGACCCGTGACGCTTTGCCACCCTAAACTGCTGTTGGTAGGTAGACAGGCTTGAATCCTCTGCGTTGTGTGAGCAACCTCAACCTGCCCTTTCG